AATATTTTTAATTTAATTGTTTAAAAAAATATATTTTTGGTTAAATAAATAAATAAATAAATAAATAAAAATAATGAAAATGTAAAGAATTGGGCTTAGGGTGTTGAAAAGTGAAATGGAGGTGAAAAAGAAAATGGGGCGCTAGGCCCAAAATAAATTTGTTTGGAATCAAAAAATAAATAAAAAAAAAGTTATGGGCATGCGCAATATAAAGTAAAATGGGGGTGCTAGCAAGCAAAAATGTCAGGCCCAAGATGGAGAACCCAAGCGTTGTTTGGATTCCTTATGACTGGCTTATGAGAGTGCATCATGAGAGCGCGCCTATGATGCATTGGATTTGATGGCTTGGCTAATCTGATGGTATGGAGAGAGGCTCATGGTGGACTCATGGAAGCTAGGCGCACTGAACCCGCAAGAACAAATAATGTGAAAAACAAAAGGGTACCACTGTGGCTCAAACCCGAGTCCCCATACACTAAATCCTTACGCGCGCTTCCTCTGCCACTGGGGTGGCTGTTTCATCCGGTCATAATACCACCTGTAATAAACTTAAAATAAACTCATTTCTAACATTTGAAAATGGCTTTATCTTCAACCTTGCATGCGCAGAGATGAACATTACCATGGCCAAAACTGTAACTTCTTCATTTCTTAACCATTTTCAAAATTGTAAACATGAAAGTTGTTCTATTTTCACCACGAATTCAACCATATAAATAACTAAAGCTATAAATTAAAGATGAACACGAATTTGTTTGGTACCAAATAAAACCTAATTTTTTCCAGAAAGTTCAACTTCGAAATTTGCATCACTCAGGAAACATAAATGAAAACTAAAGGCATGGTTAGCTTCAGGGCTATGTTATCTACATTTTTCATTCACAAAGTAACCATTAATGATGCTTGTATAAGGAGTTCAAAGTTGAGAAAACTTACCTCAAAACTGGAAATTTTGTTTGGAGTTTGAGCACTCCTAGAGGGGTGGTGATGACCTGGATAGCTTCACTGGACTCCTAGGAAGCTAATGCAACTCTTACTTTGTGCTGAAAGTGCCTGAATCTTCCAAGAGAAGTCAAGTTGCAGAGGTGTAAAGTGAGGTTTGGACAACAATGGTGGAGGTGTTACAGTTATTAAATAGGGGTGGATATGAGTTGTAAATGAGGCATGGAAGCTTTGTGATTGATTTAGAGATGAAACACATGAGTGGATTGTGAGTTTGAAGTTTTTGGCCAGAAATTGCAACAATGGAGGTTTTGTGTATAATTCCGAGTTTCAGGGAATTTGTGAGTGTTTCAAGGCTTGTAATTCGTGTCTTGGCTTGTAAATTAGCTCTCTATTTATAGAGGAAATGTTTTAGGGAAGGAGAACATCAGATTCAAGAGATCACATGTTATGGTTTTGAAACTTGTTTTTGAAGCAAACTTGAAATACATAGCTTTAATGTATAATACAAGCATGGTCTGAGTAGTTAGAGGCTCTAGACAAGTTGCTTCTGGGTTTGAGATTATGTGTGTTTATAAGGAACAAGTGCAAAGCTCAAGGAGAGTGGAATTTATGATTAAAGCCACTTTTCCAAAATGGAAGTGTGAACTTTCTTCCTTAAATGGCAAGTCAACTTGGACAATGCTTGAACCACTTGGACAATGGATCAAACAGTTATGTAAACATTAAATTATTGAGTGATTTGCAAGTTTGAAGGCCTTCAAAGCAAGATTATGCAGCATGCTTGAAGATTGATCATATTGTTCTTCATGAAAATGCCTTGTAATTCAAGAATAGATGCTCAACTTCTTCTCTTCGATTCTCCTAGCTCAAGCATGATCTCTTCAAGTTCTTGGAAATTTTGGAAATCTTGAAATATTGTCTACAACCTTCATGTTGACCATTTTTGCTAAATCATCTTGGAACTTGGTGAAAAAATGCCAAGAAGTTAGGACAGAAAATCTGCCTAACTTGATAAAAATTTCACTAAGTGTTTTTGATAAAAAGTCGTGAATTCATGGGCCTATATCTTTAAATCCAAGCATTTTGTATACATTAACCATAAGGTACGAAGTTGTAGAATTCATCAAGATCTACAACTTTCATGTTGAAAATTTTCCTTGAATCATCTTGCATCTTGGTGAAAAATTGTCATGAAGTAATGAAATTATCAAGGGTAAAAAACACTTAGAATTTTTCTAAGTATTGAAATCTTGAATTTTGTTGACTTTCTTGACTTTTTTGATTCTTGATGATCAATTTTGATATTTTTTAATGTCTTGATAAATCTTGATCTTTGAAATTCAATATTGACCAAAAAGTCAAAGTTTGACTTTTGTGTGTAAGTTGACTTTTCATCAGTTGATCAAATTTCAACTATCAATCCATTGATCTTGAGAAATGATTTGAGTCATGAAATTAGGTCAAGATATTGTTTTTGAGTCCTTGAGATCATGATTCAAGCCATTAGGTCATGTACTAGGCCAAAAGTCAATGATCAGTCATTCTCTATCAAAACCCTAATTTTGACAATTTTACCCCTTTGATGATTTGAATGCTTTTCTTGAGGAATTATGATCAACCCTTGATAAATTGATGAATATGACTTCAAAATAATGATGTTGGCTAAAAATCATGAAGTTTAACTATATTTTGACCACAATTGACTTTTTACCCAATACAGTTGATTTTCAGTCATCTGAGCAATTGACTGAGCAAATTTATGGTGCAAGACTTGAAACTTGGTATGAGCATTCTTGAAGACCTATAATGAACCCTGGAAGTCATTTGAAGCTTCAAAAGTTCAATTATCCTTGATAAAACATAAACCCTAATTTGACCCAGTGCTTAGGAGGTGAGCTTGTCTGATCAACTCTTGAGACTTCTTGAGCATTTGAGATCTTTTGTGAGAAGTGTCTTGAAGAAAAGGGAGGGCAAATTTTGGGATATAATAGTAGGGACCCAAATGATAAGTATTTTCCTTTGGACTTTGGGGTGGTTGAGACTGAAACCAAAGAAAGCTAGAAGTGGTTTCTTGAGTTGCTGATGACAGATGTAGGCAGGGACAAAAGATTCATTTTTATATCTGATCAACAAAAGGTATACCTTTTTTGTCATTAGGTTATATGTTATGCAGATTTTACTTTGCACTAATATTATGCAATGTTTCAGGGTTTGGTAGTTGTGTTTGAGGATATGTTTGAAAGAATAGAGCATAAGTTGTGCTTAAGGCATCTTTATGCAAATTTCAAGAAAAGGTTTGGAGGTGGAGCTTTAATTAGAGATCAAATGATGGAGGCTGAAAAGTCTACACACTATCAGGGATGGTTACAAAAGATGAATAAGTTGAAGCTGACATATCATAATGCTTGGACTTGGTTAATGTTTGTTCCTCTAAAGTTTTAGTGTAAGCATGCTTTCAGTTTCTACCCTAAGTGTGATGTTCCTATGAATAATATTTATGAGTCCTTTAATGCCACCATATTAAGTGTTAGGGATAAACCAATTTTAACAATGTGTGAGTGGATTAGGAAGTATTTAATGAACAAATACTCTACTTCTGCCATGAAGCTTAAAAAACGGCCTCATAAGGTTATGCCAATTCCTAGAAAAAGACTTGATAATGACGCTATGTTTAGTGGTCAATGGCTGCCTACTTAGGTAATGGATGAAAAATTCCAAGTCACTCATTCCTATAACAGTCAGGAATTTATATTTGACATTTCTAAGAGATGATGTACTTGTAATTTATGGGATATAGTTGGTATTCCTTGTAGGCATGATATTGCTACTTTAGGTTTTAGGCAACAGAATCCAGAGGATTTTGTTAATCATTGTTATTATAGAGACAAGTATGCAATATGCTATAGTTTTCTGCGAGTCCAATTAATGGTGAGGAAATGTGGCAAGAAGTTCAGTCAGAGGAGATTTTACCCCCTATGTACAAGAAAGGTCCAGGAAGACCAAGAAAGTTAAGGATAATGGAGTATGGTGAAGAGGTTGCTAGAAGGAGGAGATTGCCAAGTATTTCTTACAGATGCACTAAGTGTGACAAATTTGGTCACAATGCTCAAACATGTAAAAGCACAAACAAGATCCTAATGGACTAGAGAGAAAGTATGATAAGTGTGTATTTTGAACTGGCATATCATGTATTTGAAACTAACAAGTAATGTGTTTTTTTTTGTAGAGGAAGGTCAAGGTAGGTACAACTGATGACGTTTAACAAGTCTGTGAAACCGGTGCAACTGAGGCACCAATACAGACTGGTGCAACTAAAACTGCAGCACAAACTGGTGCAACTCAAACTACAACACAAGCTGGTGAAACTCAAACTGCAGCAACTGAACCAATTGAATATTTTTGAGACATAACTAATGATTTCATTTCAAGCATTTCTGAGATCAACACAACATAATGTTATGCTGTGGTTGGTAAATCGGGCTAAAAAGGCAAGACAAAAGTGAAAGATGCCAATCCAATGAGAAAGAAGTCCAGTGAAAGAATAAAACTCCAGTGGTTTCAAAAACGAATCACAGGGCCATGTTCAAACCCCGAGCAGCCTATGTATTTGACAGAAGAAGAAGGAAGTGGTTTTAAACATGCAATGGAGAAATCTAAGAATTAGTATTATGTATGTATTGCTTATTTTTTCTATTTGATACTTTGGCATTAAGTTATGGTTTATGTCATTAAGTTAAGAATTTTTCATCTTGTTAAGATATTATGCCCTTTTGTAATGGTTTTTCCATTTTGTTCTACTTATGCCTTCATGTAATGACTCTTTTAGTATTGGTTTCAGTTGATAATGTTATTTAATGATTTCAACTGGTAATGCAATACTGTAAGAAAAATGAAACACTCTAATGTATCAAAGTTTACATTAAACAAACATCATATTGCATTGATGTAACTGACACCTTAAATTACCAATACTTGTACAACACTGCAAAGATATTACAAATACACATAACACTGCACTTCTGCAAAAAAATTACAAATACACATTACACTTCGAATTACAAATAGTTGTACAACACTGCAAAGATAAACCAAGACATCAACATTTCCATATTAAGTTGGAAAAGTTTCCTCTTCAATGCAACTATCTTCAACTTGGATTTTTCCAGTTTTCTTTCTGTCAGTTCAAACTTCACTTTTGCCACATCACAATGTTTGCAATAACTTTCAGAATTTGAGATTTCACTAATGAAGTGAGAAATTTCATCATCCCAAATACACAAATCACATCTATTATCCATCTGCAAACAAAAACAACATTAAACCTATAAAAGGTTTAGGTATTTCATAAAACTCATAGATTCAGGAACTTACCCCAGCATTCCTGCATTTTCAGAATTTCCTATTATGCTTGTTTACAGTGTTAGCAAACCACATCTTCATCGGACGACAACATCCGCATCTAGGAACCTTTGAATGCTCGTATGAATTGCAACTTCCAACAGTCTTGCTAGCATCCTCCATTTTAACATATGGACGGAATTGGGGTTCAGGAAAAGATTTGCAGTGGAAATGGTTCAACACGGTAGGGAGAGAAGAAATGAGCAAGTCGGTAGGGACAAAAGGGGTACAGGAAATGATTTGCAATAGAAATGGTTATGGAAAGTGTGGAAAAGGACAGAAGACGAAGATGGTAGCCCTAGACATAAACAGTCCAAGGTGGCATATAATTACCCAGTCAGAAAACAGTACAAGCCACGTCTGCAACTCGTACTCATATGTATTTACTATGATTCTATTGTATGTGAACCGATTGATTATTTGATTTTGTTAATTTCATTTGTGTTTACGTAAAACGTAGGTTTTTGGAATCTTTTGGAAAACCCTTTTACAAACCCATTTCAAAACTTATGATCTAATATTTTTCGACTATTGAATACCATACTCTAGACACGAAGGTGGGATTTGATATTCATTTATATATGATAGTTAATGTTACCGTAAAACTTGGTTGGACACGATTAAGTTAGTTACGGTAAATTCTTCTTCATTTGGTTGGACACGATCGATGTTGAAGAGGGATTCATGATAATAACGAATGGTTAAGAAGTTCACACATGATAAATAATTTTGATATCTATATTGTATATTTGTGTTTATTTGTTATGGCGTTAGAAACAATCTATTTAGGAATCAATATCGATGCTTTAGCATTTATTAGGTCATAAACGCTAGACATAGCTTTAGGCTTAATGTTCACTTTTGTATTGATTCTTAATGCTTCCATATTGCTTTGGACACAGACGATATGGTGTAAACCTTGTTGGTGTTTGGACACAAACTCCGATGTGAGCGATACGTGATAGTATTAAGGAATAAATAGATTGTGTATAACTGACTGATAGAAGGCATATTTTTTAGTTATGAAAATCAATCCTAGCATGTTCTCGCCCCTCTCCAAGATTTTTAATTTTCTGTTGTTTATTTCTTTTTCCTTTCGCTTTAAATATACTTTTACAAACAAGCTTATAAATGTAGTTACAATTGAATGGCATCGATAGGACTAATCCCTTGGGAGACGATAAAAGATACTTACTCAAGTTTTTGCTTGAGAGTCGCTTTACTGCAGCTGTCAACAAAATGTAATCATTGCCAGGGATTGGTGTTTTAATTATTGTATCACAATGGTTGTTATGTTTTTAAGCTTTCTACATTTATTCATATTATACATATACTTATTTTGTTTCACATTTGCCAAAGTGTGGTTAGGATAATAGTTTTTGTTGGAGCTCGAGGAGATAAGAGCAAAGGCGAAAGTGAAAGCATTTGGCTCATCCAAAGAGAAGCAAAGTGATTATTTGTAAATATACAAACGTCAAGATAATGAAGTAAAACAAGCATGTTTTATTTTCTTTCTTGTTTTTCCTTGTGAGTAGTATATATAGAGTGGTGTAGTGGGCTAAGGAATCAAGATTGGATCTATTTTTGAATTTTTGAGCAGCTCTGAGACTGCTTAGTGCGTGTTGCTGCTTAATTCTTCACTTTTTTGTTTTTTTGTTAATTATACCATGTCTCTTTTGTAAATATGTATATTAGATAGTTTTAATATGTTCCTTTTGAGTTTGTCCAAGAGCTTGTTTTTGATTAGCTTGAGGGTGTTTTTGTGATTGTCCGATTTTGATGGTTTCAACTTACGAATGCATGGTAATGATAAGAGTTTCAAGTTGTTACATTCCAAGGTATTTGTTTTATTTATTTATAAACTATAACATTATTTTTCAACTTAGGCTTAATACAAATTCCATGTCATTCATTCTTTTGTACTACTTGTTCATGAATTGAATCACTTTAGATCCACCTTATTTGTGAGAAAGCTTTCCATTGTTCACCATATGCACGGAGTACCAATAATTCTTGTTTTAGCTAGATTTTACTATGTTTAATATTTCATTTGTATTGATTATATGAAAACATGAAAAGGATCAAGGCATTTTGTTTGATTTTGAGCATAACCACCAAACCAAAAGTAACTGACCTTGCGAGTGAGTGAGCATTTGTTAAACCCTTGGTGCCTTAGTATTAAGATTCATCTCGGTGTTGAGTTATGAACTTATGCATGAGTAAGTAGTTTATCATGAATTCTAACTTTGTTTCTAAGCCCTTGAACCATCAACCATATATTCTGTTGGATTTTTCCTTGCCTAGCTAGTTTGGGAGCATTCAGATCACTTTGTGTAGTTGTATTCAAGTTGGGGAGAATAGATGTCTGTTTTTTTATAAGTATGTCACTTGAGGTTATGAAAGAAACAATTGGAAGTAGAAAAAGAAAAAATGTGAAGAAAAAAATTGAGAAAGAGAGAAAAGAATGAGAAAAAGAAAAAAGAAAAAAGAAAGTAATAAGGTAATGGTTGTAAGCAAAAGAACAAAGAGGAAAAGGTGAAAAGTTTTTGGTTTTTTAAAAATGTGGAAAGTGATTTCTCTCATAGAATTAGGCGACTTTCTTTTAAACCTTTTGTTTTGACCCTCTTTTGTTATCTAAGCCACATTATAACCCTTGAAGCCCTTGTGATTCTTGCTTTTGTGTTTTCAATACATGTTTTTTAGATGAATGCATAATTTAATTTTTTGTTAGCAAGATTGTTGTGTGTGTGTCAGTTCCCTCGTGTTTGTGTGTTTTTCATCTACCGATGAATTTTTGCTAGGTGTGATTCGTGATAAAACATGTATCAATTTGGAATATTGGGTATGACTTTTGTATTTAGAGTTTGTTTTGTGATTATGTTGTCGTTGTAGTTTAGTGGTAAGCATTATACTTTTGTGTACCATTTTCATTTGAACCATCGCATTTGTTATCTTTTTTAAAAACATGTGCTTCTTGAATTCTCGAATTTTCGCTTTTATTTCCTTGAGTTGGTTAGTTATTGTTTGAGGACAAAAAAGTTTAAAGTTGGGGAGAGTTTGATTAGTGCTAAATTGTTGTGAATTTAAGTATAAATAATCATCACTCATCAGCTTAATTTGTTTTCTTTTAGTTAATAAACCTCAACTTGCATGTAATTACATGTATAATCGTTTTCATGTACATATTGTATCTTTTGATATTTTTTCATTTCTTTTGTAGGTACTCAAGCTATAATATTTAGGCATTATCTTGTAGATCATTGAATAAGTTTTCCAACGCTTCTGGCTGTACGTTAATCAGAGTTGCAATTCATAAGTTATGATGTAAACAAGATCTATTTTTTAGTACAGCGGACCGCGCTAAGCGGGACTTCTAGCATGCTAGGATAACCAGCTACCGTGATTTTGACATTTTTGACCGCGCTAAGTGCCCTGCTGCGACCACTGTTTTATTTTAGTTATTTTCCACACTTTTTGGACCATTCCATCATCTTTCTTCATGGTGGCAACCTAGAGTGAGATGAGAAACATTTTGGAGAGAGAGAGAGAGAGAGAGAGAGAGAGAGAGAGAGAGAGAGAGAGAGAATTTCTACAAACAACATAAAAGCTGATTCTTGTGGAATGGAGTCGGGTCTGAGTTACCTGGTGGGGCACCTCAGTTGATTCTTCTCCCTTTTCACTTTCTCTCGTCGTGGTTAGAGACCATGAGTGGTTAGGATCTCTTATTTGTTGGTTTTGGTTGTAATAACTTGTACTCATATGTATTTACTTTGATTATATTGTATGTGAACCGATTCATTATTTGATTTTGTTGATTTCATTTGTGTTTATGTAAAACCTAGGTTTTGGGAATCTTTTGACAAACCCATTTCAAAACCTATGATCTAATATTTTTCGACTATCGAATATCGTACTCTGGACACGGAGGTGAGATTTGATATTCATTTGTATCTAATTGTTAATGTTATCGTAAAACTTGGTTGGACACGATTGAGTTAGTTACGGTAAATTCCTTTTCATTTGGTTGAACACGATCGATGTTGAAGAGGGATTCGTGATAATAACGAATGATTGAGAAGTTCACACGTGATAGATCAGTTTGATATGTATGTTTTATATTTGTGTTTATTGGTCACAACATTAGACGCAATCTATTTAGGAATCAATATTGATGCTTTAGCATCTGTTAGGTCATAAATGCTAGACATAGCTTCAGGCTTAATATTCACTTTTGTATTGATTCTTAATGCTGCCATATTGCATTGGACACGAACGATATGTTCGAAACCTCTTTAGCGTTTGGACATAAATGTCGACATGAGCGATACATGATGGTATTGAGGAATAAGTAGATTGTGTATAATTGACTGATATAAGGCATATTTTTTTAGTTATGAAAATCAATACTAGCATGTTCTCGCCCATCTCCAAGATCTTTAATTTTCCTTTGTTTGTTTCTTTTTCATTTCGCTTTAAATATACTTTTCCAAACAATCTTAGAAACGTAGTAACGATTGAATGTCATCGATAGCACTTATTCCTGTGGAGACGATAAAAGATACTTACTCATGTTTTTGCTTGAGAGCCGCTTTACTGCAGATGTTTACAAAATGGTGTCTTTGTCTGGGATTGGTGTTTTTATTAATTGGATGGCAATGGTTGTTATGTTTTTAAGCTTTCTACATTTTTTCATATTATACATATACTTATCTTTTCACATTTTCCAAAGTGTGGTTAGGTGAATAGTTTATGCTGGAGCTCGAGGATATGAGAGCAAATGTAGAAGCAAAAGAATTTGGCTCATCCAAAGAGAAGTAAAGTGATTGTTTGTAAATATACATGCATCAAGATAATGATGTAAAACAAGCTTGTTTTATTTGCTTTATTGTTTTTCCTTGTTAATAGTATAGATATAGTGGTGTAGTGGGCTAAGGAAGCAAGATTGGATCTATCTTTGAATTTCTGAGCAACTCTGAGACTGCTTAGTGTGCTCTGCTGCTTAATAATTCACTTTTTTGTTTTGTTGTTCATTACACCACATCTCTTTTGTATATATGTATATTAGGTAGTTTTAATGTGTTCTTTTTGAGTTTGTCCAAGAGCTTGTTTTTGATTAGCTTGAG